TCCCTGGTGGCACAGTGGTTAGGAATCCGCCTGCTAAATCAGGGGACACAGGTTCGATCCCTTGTCTGGGAGGGTCCCACATGCTGTGGGGCGGCTAAGCCGCTGTGCCACAACCACTGAGCCCGTGTGCTGCTACTACCGAGGCCTGCAAGCCCGAGAGCCTGTGCTCCGGAACAAGAGAGAATACACCAACTAGAGTGTAGCCCCCACTTGCCTCAACTAGATAAAGCCCGCACGGAGCAATGAAGACCCAGTGCAGCTTATACATTTCTGAAAAAGATTTATGTTTTGTCCATAGTCTGTATTTAACAAAATAAAAGCTTTCTGGTGGAGTCTTTAAGTTCTTTTATATATAAAATCATGTCATCTGCAAACTGGGTTAGTTTTACTTCCCTCTTTCTAATTCTGTTGCCTTTTCTTTTTCTTGCCTGATTGCTCTGGCTAAGACTTCTGGAACTATGTTGAATAGGAGTGGTGAAAGTGGGCACCCATGTCTTGTTCTTTAAAAAAAAAAAAAAGTTTTAAATATTTATTTGGCAGCACCAGGTGTTAGTGGCAGCACATAGGATTGTCAGTCTTCATTGAGGCATGTGGAATATTTAGTTGCTGCTTGCAAACTCTATTAGTTGTGGCATATGGGACCTAGTTCCCTGACCTGGGATCAAACTCAGGTCCCCTGCATTGGGGGCACGGAATTTTATCCACCCAACCACCAGGGACATCCCTCTTGCTTTGTTCTTGATCTTAAGAGGCTAAGCTTTCAACCTTTCACTAATGAGTATGTTATCTGTGGGCCTGTCATACATAACTTTTTATTATGTTGAGGTACATTCTTTCAATTATGTTAAGATAAACAGATGTTGAAATTTTCAAATGCTTTTTCTGTCACTGAGATTATATTTTTTTCATTCTATTAATGTGATGTATCACAGAATTATTTGCATATGTTAAACCATCCGTACATCCTAGAAATAAAAGTCCCAGTTGATCATGGTGAATCATTTTTTTTGTGTGTGTTGCTGAATTCAGATTGTCAGCATTCTATGCAGATATTGGCCTATGGTTCTTTTCCGGTAGTGGCCTTTTCTGACTTTGGTATTACAGTAATGTGAGCCTCATAAAATGAATTTGGGAGTGTTCCTTCCTCTTTTTTTGGTAAGAGCTTTGATAATGATTTAGTTCTTCTTTCAGTGTTTTGTAAAATACTCCAGTGAAGCTGTTTGGTCCTGGCTTTCTTAGTGCTGGGAAATTTTTGACTACCCATTCAGGCTCTTTTGGAGAAGGAAATGGCAATCCATTCCAGTACTCTTGCCTGGAAAATCCCATGGATGGAGAAGCATGGTAGGCTACAGCCCATGGGGTTGCAAAAGAGTCAGACACAACTGAGCAACTTTTCACTTTCAGGCTCCTTATTAATAAATGGTCTGTGCAAATTTCCTATTTCTTCTGAGTCAGTTTGGTAGGTTATGTTTCTATTTTTCCCATATCAGCAGTGGGCCAGGGTATGCCTTAGCTTTCGGGGGTGAGAAACTTCAGTTTTTTAAAAAATAATTAGCTGAACCTTAAAAGGGCATTTTTTCCTTGACAGATGTGATGTTTATTGTATCTACACTCATACCATTGTTTACCTAAATAAGACACACATTCAAGCCTGATGTTGCTGGGGGCGTAACTCTGCCCAGAGTGAAGCTGAAGTAATGATGGGGAGGGAGGAAGAATTATGTACAAATATTACTGCAGGAGTACTTTTTATTATATAAAGGATTTTCTGCAGATTGCACCTTTTCCCCTTGGATACTCTGTAACAATATACATGTAAGTCTTCCTTGCATGTGTGCTAAGTCGCTGAGTCGTGTCTGGCTCTGCAACTCTATGGGCTGTAGCCCGCCAGGCTCCTCTGCCCATGTGACTCTCTAGGTGAGAATACTGGAGCGGGTGCCATGCCCTCCTCTAGGGGACCTTTCCGCAGGGCTGGAACCTGCATCTCTTATGTCTCCTGCATTGGAAGGTGGGTTATCACTAGCCCACTTGGGAAGCCAAATCATCCTTTTGATATAGTCACATTATATCCAGTTGTAAAGAAAAAGTGTTGAAAAACCATATGTTAATACAGTTGCAGCTGATTTATATCAGGAATGGTAATTTTAAAATTTCTACAACAGATACACTTGTTTTAAAGATTCTACCCAGAAGAATAAATAAGTGGCTTTGAATTAAAGTCCTTTGAGCAGTGCCTCTCAGACCCTGGTGTTCAGAATCACCTGATAGGATTGCTAAAAGACTGCTGGGCTCCACCCCAGAGATTGTGATTCAGTAGATCTGGGATGGGATCTACTGTAACAAGCTTCCATGTGAGACTGCCACTGGTCCAGGCAACCACACAACAATCTGCCTTTTCACTTTGGGCATTTTCTGTTAGTTTCTCCTGAGTTTGATAAAAATGAAGCAAAACCACACACTACTCTTGGATAAAGAACAAAATTTTATTCTAAAAATAGATCTCAGTAACAAGGCAATACCAAAAGTTGGTCCTTATAATAAAAAGAAAAAATCTAACAGAAATTTGCTTTATATTTTTTTCCTGAAAAATACAAAATTATCACTCTAAATTTTGCCAGCTCTCATTAACTGTATTTGAATTATTCATTCTATGGACTATCCAAAGACATTTAAAAATCATAGGTTGAATTCTACCTAATATTTAAACATACATTTGAATTGCTTTTATCTTCAAGTAACTACATTCTTAAAGAATGCAAATGAAACTGAACATTTGCTGAAGTAAACATAATGAGGAAGATAAATTTATGCTTAGGAAATGTGCTCCAAAGTGAAATACTGGTATATATAGCTGTTTCCCTTATTTTTTGCAGATAACCAAAAAAAAAAACCCCAAACCCCAAAACCTGATTGCATTGAAGTACTGATATTTGAAAGTAACAAATTATACAACTTATATACAGAAAAAGACATAACTAAATTATTTCAAGCCCCAAGCACAGGAAATTTTAAAGGCAAATAATGACATTCAGTACTTAAAAAGTGGTTTTATATTTTCAAAGTGCTAAGAAACAAGTATTCAAGAAAATTTCAGGCCTGTCTACAAAGTTCTGACTGACTTGAAGTACTGAAATATCAAGAATTCAGAAGATAAGTTAAGGTTAAAACGCCTTCTTTACTGTAAAACATGTCTTCAGTATATTTTGCAAAGAAATGAAGCAGTGATTAAAAGACCAGTTATGGATAAGTTAGTAACACAAAACTTATCTATCAGCCCAGATCTCTTTTCAAACTAATGCAAACACGTTTAATAACACTCCTTCCACACTGCACGTGTCGTATCCATCCATCCTGTCACATCCATATTTTGGATAATTCTTATTATTCATCATGTTAGTTGGCCATAATACACAGTGAGTAGAAATGATCCTTTCATATCAAAATTCTTGATTCTCTGCACAAAAGTTACATTTAATGCCTTTTAAATGTATGTACACATTTATTAGGACTTCTTAGCTCATTTCTGGGCTGTCAGAAATTGGTGTGATTTACTTTGACCGTCTAAGATAGAAGAAACAGTATGTTAGTACCTAGTATGACTAAGTATCTCTTTTGTTAAAACTTGACCCTGAGTTTTGTGTCCTGGAATATAAACTGTAAAGCTGAAAACACTCCAAAATATGTTGGCTAATACTGCTGTCTTTACAATATTATGCTTTTTCTCTCCATTAACATAATACATCTGAAAGTGCCTCCTCCTCAGCAGGGGAGAAGAGGAGTAGTCTAGAGAAGACCCAAATATGGAAGCAGGAACGTCCAGTCTTAAAAATTCCTGTTTTAAAACTGTGTAAGAATTTATTCCAAAATATGTTGGTGTTTTAGTGTAAAGATGCTATTTCCCCAAATCTCTGAGTGACACTGATGGAGTGCACCTACAGGGTTAGCAGCCTGAGGGGAGCCCCACAGCCCCCAGCTTGGCAGACACAGCACTTCTCTCTCATCTGGACCAAAGACTGCTAACTGTTGCTGTGGAAATCATCTAAAGGTCTTTTTTTTTTTTTAAAGCTAGGTCTGTTTACATTATGTTAACCATTTCTAAACATTGAAAGCAGTTCTACATCTATTAAAAATATTCACTAAATATAAAATTAACAACTGAACATGAAATAAAGCAATTTCCAGTGGTGACAGTGTTCTCACAGTAGCAAATAATCTAATTATTTAATACTAACAACTAAGTCTTTAAAACATTATTATGTTAAAACACCGCAATTACAGAGGGAAAAAAAGGCAGTTACATCAACTGCTATTGAAAGCGCAAAAGAAAAATACAGGCTCTCCAATGGTTCTCTAATAAGGATAAGCCCAGATACTGTTTCTAGTTTTTATTTTTTTTTTTGGTGGGGGAGGGCATGTATTTTGTTCTAAACAAAAGAACTAACTTTATAAAATATTGATGGTTTCTGAAGAGACAATAAACAAATTATGCTTAAGACGTGGCTTATTCATATAATTTCTGCTATGTGGCAATGGTAATTAGGATATATCCAGCTGTTAATAGCACTGAGATTCTTTGTGTGACTAACAAAGACATCAAAATCCTTAGTGCTGAGACAAGCTCCTTATTTGAATGACCAGATGGCATCATACCCTTCAGTGATAGTGCTTTCCAATCACTGGCCTATCACTTTTCCAATCACTGTGACCACTGCCACAGAAAAGTAAGACTGGACTTGTTTGTCTCACTATGTATTTTCTAAAACTGAATATAATACCACTGCATTAACTATATGCTCCATATGTTCATTAAAAACCCCCAAACCAAACCCTTTTTCCTTTAATAATCATGAGGAATCTTTACATATTTATATAATACACTGTATATTATATGCATGGCCTGTTTATGCCATTTTCAAGAAGAGAATACTGTATTAAAGTAATAAATCAAAATTAACTGATAGGGCTGTATCACTCTTCTTTCCATTCGTTCTTGGAGTCCCTTAAATGATGGCATCATGTTCATCACTGTAATAAATCAAAAGTTAAAATTACTTTGTTTTATATTTGTATCAAAATACTTATAGTTCATATTTTTAAGTAATGAATAATTTCAAGCTTCAGAATCAAAACTGTCATTGCTTTGTGTTTTCTTAAGCAAAAGTACCTGGTATACTGTAGTGGTTAAGGATTCAATCAGTGTATTCAGGTTGCAAAATGGATCTATATTCAAATCTCTGCCCTACAGTGGCTGTGTGACTTTTCATCAATTAGCTATTACAACCCTCTTTAAAAAAGAAGATAACCAGAACAACAATCATTTCATGAGCATCTACTACGTGCCAGGTGTTCTGTTACAGACTTTACATCCATAGCTCATTCAGTCATCACAGTAGCCCTAAGCAGAGTGAGGGCACTGAAAAACAAAATATGTATGGGTGTGTATGTATGTATAAAGTTAGGTATTTAATCAATCGATTCCATTTTGCAGAAGATCAGAAGCTAAGCAAGCATGTAAGCATGTGGACTCTCATCCTGACTACTAGACACTGTGCTACACCATTTACATGGAAGTAGGCAGGCACCCTCCCAGACTCAGATTCAAGTCTGTCTGCCCCAACCCACCTCCTACCACATCACCCCACTGTCTACCCATGCAGCCCTGAGAAACACCGCAGCTAACACTTAAGCAGTGTTATTATCCAGTAAATGGAAGTTAGAAATGCTCACAATTACTAGATGCTGGTCTCAGTTTCCTTAATGGGAAAATAGTAAGTCTTTATTTATGGAATGTCACTATTTATAGCTTCCAAGGAATGACTGGCTTTAAAATACACTTTAAATATTGATATTATAAAAAAGGAGATGAATTAAATTTAATCAAAATGTGCCTTCTGTTTAACTGGTGAAATTTCCGCCCCCCCCCCCCAAAAAAAACAGATGATAAATATTTCTAGGAACAGAGTGGTTTTAAAAATATTCCAAATTTAAAGCATTTTTAGAATTAACTTGATTTAGTTAGTTTCCTTTTTTTTTCCTTCTTTTACAGACTGAGCTACAAGAGGAAAGAATGAATGTTTCTGAATGTGCTTTAATCTGACAAAACACTATGTTGATATTCTTTTAAAGTAAGTTTGATATGATGGCTACTATACATGGAAGGTAAGTTACAATTTAAATATTTTTTAAAGTCTGGTTTTCTTAGTTCAATGAAAAAATCTGAGACTTATTTTGATATTATATTTTCCTCCTAGAAATTCATAATGTACATCAACATATCAAAGGCTTAACAGAATTTTACTGTGCTGAATCAGTATTTCCCAAATGTTTCTGACATGGAAACTCTATGGGACACAGATGTATTGACACATGACAACTTAAATTTTGGAAAATGCCATCTGTTCTATGGTATTTATTTTATATATACATTAACTGATGCTGGGAAAGATTGAGGGCAGGAGAGGAAGGGGACAACAAAGGATGAGATGGCTGGATGGCATCACCGACTCAATGGACATGCATTTGGGTAAACTCCGGGAGTTGGTGATGGATAGGGAGGCCTGGCGTACTGCAGTTCACGGGGTCGCAAAGAGTTGGACACGACTGAGTGACTGAACTGAACAATCAAAAGAATAAATTCACTCTTGTACATATAAGACTCAAAAGAAAAACCAAAAGGACTTTGTTGGAGTAACAAAAATTGGGAGATGATACCTCTAAAAACCATCAGATCTATAGAATGACATGATTTGTTGTTGAGGACTTGTTGATAAAGCTCACCTGAAAAGATGGTTTTACTACAGATTAACTGTAATATATTATACTAACAACTCATTATCAGGGAAAATGAGGCTGTCAGAATTTCTTTATTTGTCACAGAAAGAAAAAATCATGTTTTTATCGAGGATGCTATTTTAGTGTGTCTTATGTTTGTTGGCAGCACTAAGTCAGCAGCCTCAGGAGACCTGATGCGGTATTTCTTATGATTAGAGGTGTTAAGCATGTGAAAAGGGCTAATTAAACTTGGGTCTCTGGTTAAAAAAAGAAAAAGGATGGCACACTAATAAAATACAATCATTTTTACATGTATGTACATCCATTTTCATTTGCAAGTAATTATAATCACGAGCTTGTACCCAATTTGCTTTAGGCATAAAGGATTAACAGGAATATAACTCATAAATCTATGAATTATTAATCCCTGAGATGAACACTGGCTCTACTCTTAAATTTTGTCATAATATTTAAATAAAGAACTAATAATAATAATAAAAGTCCTGGCCAATCAAAACTTACATGGTTCTATACCGAATGCCTCGTCTTGAATAATACACTTTGCATCCAATGTAAAGAAAAGATAAAACTCCCAGTGTTAATACAATACCACCAACAAAGCTGCCAGTATCAAATTTTGATCCTTTATTTTCCTTAGAAATAATAGTTGCTGTGACTAGAAGAAAACAAAACAAAAAATAGGTTTTAGTGCTTTTAAAATACATTGTAATAAGCTAAAACACTCTGAATTTCTATATAAGCATTCTGACTTGGGGACGAGAAGGACATGAAGTTGCTTTCTAGTTGATTTTGTGTCTAGTGACTGCCTGGCTTTAGTTTTCTTCAGCTGACGCAACACATCCCTTATTAAAGAAACCCCCACTGCCTGCAGTCCCAAGATCTTAATGCAAGACTGGACTTGGATGGTCTACCAAAACCATCCAAGGCAGCAAGACTTGGCGAATTCTTTTATGAATTCTCTTTAAGGGTTCATGCCCTAAACAAAACATGTCTGGGTAACAGCTGTAATCCTGAAACTGGATCCAATTTGAATAAATGTTTCTAATGGACATTTCTCCTTTTGAACAAACTGTGAATTTTAACTATTTTAATCTTGTGAAGTCAATACATAAATTGTAGTAATAAAGAAGAGAAACTCTTCAGAATAGAAGTATATAAAAACACAAAAAAGGAACCATAAAGTCTGATATTTGTTCTGATAAATGTAATCAACAGCTTTTAAAGAGAAGTTCAACTTTGGAATACTTAAAAGAGAATTTTAAGGTTTTTGAATTCCAGGTTTCACAGGCATTACATTTTAAATAAATGAAAATAAAAAGAGTGCTGACCCTGATAATATATGTGACTATATCTAATACCATTAAAAAATATCTTTATTGCACAAGTGGATTAAAACTGAAGCTCATCATGATTTAGGTTTAGAAATCATGGAGGCTGATCCTACCTAATTCCCTTCTAGAGTGAGGTACAAAAAATTAAAAGTATGACAAGTTTTCAAATCATGCAAAATAAAATTCCGTTTAGGATAATTTATTTATTTACAGATGGATCTTATACAGTCATTATTTGGCATGATTAAGTTGGAAGCTAATTTCTTAAAGGAACAAGATAGTTACTACATCAACTCTTTTCCTGATCTCTACAACTAATTTCTATAGGAAATGAGAAATAATTGCCTAAATTTCTACATTTTGCAGAATGGAATGATATAAATGTGGCATTTAACAACTATTTTTCAGCATAGGAAAAAATAGGTCCATTTTATACATACCTGTTACCGATGAAGGAACAGATGTCATTGAACTATTGTGGGCTGTGGTAACTGTGGATACTGATAGCTGGGATGTATTTTGTGAAACATTTGCTATTTTGGGTGTAGAGCTTAAGGTGGTGGAAGTCGTATTTGTTGAGATCACTGGTGTTATCACTTTAGATGTTGCAATGGGTTTCGAGGTGGTGGCTATCCCATTATGTGAGGCTGAGGAATCTTTATTTTCTGATGATTTTCCCGCAGGTTTCAAGGTGGTAGTGGTCACATTATTTGGGGAAACTGAAGCTGTTGATGGTTCCACACTGACGTTGGAAGATTCATGCCTATGGTTGGGATGTCCCTGTTGGTCTACGAGAAGATGAAGAAACATTAAAGCAAGAGCTGTGACTCGGATAATCAAGCTGCCACTTCACTCACTGCCTTTCATGGTCACGCATAAAGGAAAAGGTCTAACAAACACACCAGCGTGTAGACACTTGGTCTACTAATACTCTGCAGTACACAGCAATAAGCCATAGAATGTCCCAAAACAGGAAAATATTCAAAAGGAACCAAGCCTTGATTTACATAGAGTGAGGAATTTTTGTGACCATGTGGTGGGGCGGGGGGAAGAGGGAAGGAGACCCGACCCAGAAGACGGAGCTCTTTCAGCACAGGGACAGTGCCTTACCCACCTCCGTCTGAATACTCCATGCTTTATGTCACAGTATTAGCTGAAAAGATTATTAAACCAATGGATGTAAGAAAGGTTTTCAAACTTTAAAGTTTCCCTGCCACATTCTTCCAAAAGGCTTTGAGGACAAACAGTACCTACATGCTTCTAACTGCCTGAAGTGGATGTGAGCATAAGCAGGACATTCTTTATAAGAGTAAAAGCAACTTCCCATGATACATTAAGAAGTGAAATAACATTGCAGAACATGGTTGGTTGGAAATCTCATAGTGGTGATAATAATTTTCCATCGTTGGAAACATATTTCTAAAAATATTTTGGAAAGCTTTAAATATGCAAAAGCCAATTTTTATAAGGGGAAACCACTGATGTTAATTTAAAACAAACAACTGGAAATAAGTAAGCACTATTACCAAAAAATAAATACTAAGTATCTATGTATAAAATGCCCTATGGCCAAAAGCAAACATTTTTGTCTTAATATTTTTTCATACTCTATCTTCATTGTAACACTATAACCTAACTGATACTTACATCTAAAGATACTTTAGTTATTTATAATTTACTAAATAAATGTGTGTTAGTTGCTCGGTCATATCTGACTCTTTGTGACTCCACGGACTGTAGCCTGCCAGGCTCTTCTGTCCATGGAATTCTCCAGGCAAGAATACTGGAGTGGGTAGCCATGCCCTTCTCCAGGGGATCTTCCTAACCCGGGGATCGAACCTGGGTCTCCCACACTGCAGGTGGATTCTTTACTGTCTGAGCCACGAACTATTTTACTATATACTATCCAAGGAATCAAAAATCTCTCTTTGCCCTATTGTTGTTGTTCAGCTCCTCTTTCCTCCACTATCTCCCTGAGTTTGCCAGACTCAAGTCCATTGAGTTGGTGATGATATCCAACCATCTCATCATCTGCCGCCCCCTCCTCCTCTGCATTTAGTCTTTCCCAGCATCAGGGTCTTTTCTAACGAGTCAGCTCTTTGCGTCAGGTGGCCAAAGTATTGGAGCTTCAGCTTCAGCATCAGTCTTTCCAATGAATATTCAACGTTGATTTCCTTTAGGACTGACTGGTTGCAATTTCTTTCTTTATTTGTGTCTGCAGGTTTAGTAGTTTGCTATGTTGTCTGCATTTTCTCATTTCACTCTCTCTGGCCAAGAACCAAAGTGGAAAGAATTTGCTCCTGGCCTGCCTTCTCCAGCAACAGCAGCATCAGGCCTTCAGGGTCCCTGTCACACCCAAAAGCGATGACTTCAGGTACTAACACCCTATCTTTCACAATTATTCTGGACTTTTTATTCAAATAATTCAAATATTTATTTTCAGCTTTACAGGCTGGTTTTAATAGTGCTTCTTATCTGGCCATCAGCTTTTACTATTTAAATTCCTACCACCTTTTCTGAACTCTGGGTCTTTATTGTGTGATCTCTTCCACTGAGTATTATCTGATTTTTAAAAAAGATGCAAGGAATTAGTACTTCTATATTATGTTGTTATTGTTCAGTAGCCCAGTCGTGTCTGACTCTCTGTGAACTCATGGACTGCAGCATGCCAGCCCCCCGTCCCTCACCATCTCCTGAAGTTTGCCCAAGTTCAGGTCCATTGCATTGGTGATAATACAAAAACTTTTGTATTATATAGACTAATAAATTATAATTATTCAAGTAGATGATAGAAATGTTATGAATTTGAACTAATCTTTTATTAATCAATTAAAATGCTCTATAGATATAAATCATATACTTTAGCATTGAAATAATCACATACTATTTTAATCTACTCAATGAATTCTATTATAGTGAAATTAAATACAGCAAAGAACCATTGTTTATATCATATCTTTAGAACAGAATGATCTTTGCAGAGTGCAACAATGAACACAGTGCTGCTTTTGGATTACACACACACACACACACACACACACAGCCTACTCTCTTCTCTTGGCCATAATAAGATATTCTTCACAGATACTGTACAAAGTCACATGGGCAAAAACAGGGACCTGTCAGGTTAGTTCTTCATTAAGAAAATCCAAATATGTTAAAGAAATGACTAAGAACCTAAAAATTTCTACGAATTTTGCCTGACAAAACAGGCAAGGAAGTTTTATGTTAAGGTGTGTTCTGTGATGTTTAAATGTGTTAGCTGCAACGCAAGGATGCTCTCTTCCGGGTCAGAGCTCACAGTGCGTCAACCCCCCGTCTCTAATGTAAGCCCACGCTCATCTGTGCTCCTCTGCAGAGACCACCCCGCCACGGGACCTGGGTGTCTTTCCTCTCCTGTAACTGCTCAGTGACTGGCCAGTGTCCTCCACGGCAAGGCACCGTGAACACCTGCAGAGATGTCGGAGGAACAGACCACCCGCGCGGGGCTTGGGAAGGGCTGAGCTCTGCTGTGTTAGCCCTTCAATCTCCACAGCCTCTGAGAAGCAGAAGTCGTAAAGATGTGGAGGGCGGGTGACATGAGCGAAGGGGGTCAAAGGGACCAACTTCTAGTTATAAAGTAAGTCAATCATGGGGATGTGATGTAAAACACATGGCGACTCTAGTTGTATCACACTGTATATTTGAAAGTATTTAGGAGAACAGATCTGGAAAGTTCTCATCACAAGAAAAAAAATTGTAACTAAATATGATGACAAATGTTATATAAATTCTTATATATATTATGATAGCTGTTACTTATTGTGATCATTTTATAATATAGACAAATATCAAATCATTATGTTGTATACCTGAAACTAATATGTTATATGTCAACTATGTATTTCAATCCAAGAAAGTACAAAAACATCCAGTTAAGACAAGACAAAAGAAGGTATAAAGGCCCCAGGAGGGGACGTTATTGGAAAGTGTGACGCGTGCTCTGTGTCCACCTGCACCTCTGCCCGTGGAGGAAAACAGGGGTACAAAGCCCTCACCCTCAAGCCAAGCTGGAAAGGCTTCAAGGGAACCACCTGAAGAGCGGGCCCAGCGTCCCCTGGGCCTGAAGGGACAAACACTGGGATCTGACTCCGGCCTGGTGACGCTAAAGGCGAGGCAGCAGGTGAGCTGTCTGACTGTCCGCAGGTTGAAAAGGCTGCTCGGGGAGTTGATTCTCGCCTCCAGTGACCACAGAGACACTTGTTTCCCACAGACGAAAGCAGGCCCCTGGAACACGGCCAGCATGGGGCCGCTTTCAAAGACAGCTTCACAGAGTTCTGCACACAGGGGTGGAGAGACCCAGCAGAGAGGTGGGACATCAAACAGCGGGGGCCACGGGAGTGGCATCACCGACTTGATGGGCATGAGTCTGAGCAAACTCCGGGAGCTGGCGATGGGACAGGGAGGCCTGGCGTGCTGCAGTCCATGGGGTCGCAGAGAGTTGGACACAACTGAGCAACTGGACTGAACTGGACTGGAGGGAGTGAAGCGCAAGGGCCAGCGGGGGGAGGCCCCAGGGCATAGAGACTGGCGAGGGAAGCGCCAGCTGAGGGTCTCCCCAGAAGCTCCCCAAGAACCGCATCTGCCACCCGGGGCACCTCCACCAGGTGAAAACATCCCAGCGGGCTTCTCCCCAAACCCCTTCAGGCCTGCTTCTGTGAGGTCAAAGCAGCAGAGGTGAGGGGAGAAGGGTGGGGCAAGGACAGGGCCAGCAGTGCAGACCCCCTGCAGCGGGCTCGGACTGCCGGAGGGAGGAATCCCACTCATCACAGTGCTATTCCTTTTGGTTTCATTCTGAACAAGACAGACACCCTGCTAACTACAACTCATTCAACAAGCTGAGCATCCGTGCTATCAGTAACACCTCCACTAACGCAGGTGGGGCTGCGGGACAGGGTGCAGGGGGCGCACAGGGTCAGTGTCAGCGCTGAACTGCGTCCCCCTAACACTCACATGGTGAAGCCCTAACCCCGAGTACCTGAGGATGTCGCCTTATTTGCAGATAGCATCTTCACAGAGGAGTATAATCAAGTTAAAATGAGGTTATCAGGATGAGGCTTAAGAACCTGGTATCCTTGTAAAGTGGGAAATTTGGAGACAGACAAACATACAGGAGGAACATCATGTGAAGATGAAGGCAGAGATCAGGATGGTGCTTCCAAGAGGCCAAGGAAAACCAAAGAGTGCCAGCAAAACACCAGAAACAAGACAACAGGCATGGAACAGACCCTCTGTCATCAGCCCTCAGGGCGATGTAATCTGACAGCCTGTCGACAATCTGACAACCCATCTCTGCTGTTTACGCCACCCAGTTAGTGGTCCTTTGCTGTGGTAGCCCTGGCAAATGAATGCACTCAGGATCACAGGTCTTCCATTTCTAATAAGACATGTCTCTGGGCAACAGTGCTGGCTGGTGGCTGGTCCCTTTCACAGATCTTTGAAACTCAGATCTTTGAGACAAATTCAGTCAGTCAGTACTTGTCAAACCACTCTCAAAATTTGCTTAAGTAAAACCTAAGATCATCTAGAGATTTCAGTCAGAGCTATAAAAATTTCCTGACCTTACCTCTTGGTTTCAGCTAACAATCACAGAAGAGGAGGGGAGGGGCTGCAGTGAGGGCGCCATGTGCCCTTTGGGCCAGCAGCTGCCGTGCTCAGGGGGAGATGAACGAGACAGACAAGGTACCGTGGAGACGAGCAACATTCTGCCACTGCTGCAGAGAGGCTCTGAACAGACCTACTTCCATGA